CTTCCTTCCTTCCTTCCTTCCTTCCTTCCTTCCTTCCTTCCTTCCTTTCTTCCTTTCTCTTTTTTTTTTTTTTTTTTTTTGAGATGGAGTTTCACTCTTGTTACCCAGGCTGGAGTGCAATGGCGTGATCTTGGCTCACTGCAACCTCCATCTCCTGGGTTCAGGCAATTCTCCTGCCTCAACCTCCTGAGTAGCTGGGATTACAGGCACGCGCCACCATGCCCAGCTAATTTTTGTATTTTTAGTAGAGATGGGGTTTCACCGTGTTAACCAGGATGGTCTCGATCTCTTGACCTCGTGATCCACCCGCCTTGGCCTCCCAAAGTGCTAGGATTACAGGCTTGAGCCACCGCTCCCGGCCCTTCCTTTCTCTTTCTTTCTCTCTCTCTCTCTCTTTCTTTTTCTTTCTTGAGATGGAGTCTTGCTCTGCCAGGCTGGAGTACAGTGGCACGATCTCGTCTCACCCCAACCTCTGCCTCTCAGGTTTAAGCAATTCTCCTGCCTCAGCCTCCCGAGTAGCTGAGACTACAGGCACCATGCCCAGCTAATTTTTGTATTTTTTAGTAGAGATGGAGTTTCACTATGTTGGCCAGGCTGGTCTCAAACTCCTGACCTCATGATCTGCCCGCCTTGGCCTCCAAAGTGTTGGGATTACAGGCGTGAGCCACCGCACCTGGCCACATTATTCCTATTGGTGAAAGACTGATGTGTAACTGGCTCAAGTCCAGCTGCTCGCTGCTCAGAAGTCAAAGCGTGAGCAGTGAGGTGTGGTGGAAGGAAAGCAGCTTTATTCAAATGCTAGCAGTTGAGGAATGGCCAGGCCCATGCCTTTAAAAGTCCATTCCAACTTTTTGGGCTGAGTGAAGGGTTCAAGGAGGAAGACGTTTGGGGAGTATGTGGGAGCGGGGCAGGGGGTGTCGATCTGCTTCCTGTTCTGATGGCTCTCCTGAGTCATCACTTGCCTGTCCCGAGGTCTGCTTTGCGTCATCCTGACTTCAGCCTGGAAGTGGGGGGCTACCTGTAACTCCCCCTAAGTGGGAGGATTCTGCATCTGGGTCTCTCTGCCTGGTTTGTTTCAAAATTGGCCCTTGGAATTTCTAAGTAAGCACGTAATTAGATAAGCAAGCACTGCTTACAGAAGTGCCTGGTGGGAAAGAGAGAAACAAAGTGTGTCTCAAGGCTGAAAGCAAGAAATTAAAAAAAGATTTAAAGGACATTTTGAGGCTGGGATACTCAGTTACAAATGCTTTCTCCTTAATACCAGAGACAAGGCAAGGATGTCCACTCTCACCACTTGTGTTTACCATAGTACAGAAAGTTCTAGTCAGAGCAGTAACAGTTTCTTAAAAAGGAAATAAAAGACATTCAAATTGGAAGGGAAGGAAGAAAATCTGCATCTGCAGGTGACATGATCGTCTCTGTGGAAAATCCCAAGAAATTGAAAAACAACACAAAACAATATACCTCTTAGAACTAATAAATACACAAAGGTTGCAGGACACAAGACAAATATACAAAGATCAATTGTGTGTCTACATACTAGTAATGGACCCTAAACTTAAAAACACAATACTATTTATAATAGCTAAAAAAATGAGATACCGAGGCATAAGCCCAACAACTCATATGCTGGATCTGTATGCTGAAACAGTGCAACGATTATAAACCAAGTCAAAGAAGACCTAAACAAGCTCTGTCCGTGGGTTAGGAGGCTCAACAGAGTAAAAATGTCATTTCTCTCAAATAATATAAAGATTTAAACACATTCCTATCAAAATTCTGGAAGGAACTCTGGTAGATATAGACAAGATTATTTTAAAATTTATATGGAAAGAGAAAGGAACTAGAATAACTAAATTCTTTTTTTTTTTTTTTTTTTTTTTTT